GCTAATGAGTAGTTACTTATTCATAATCATGATTCCAATGTTTAATTTAATTAGTTGATGATCTTAGTGGAATGGAAGATGGAAATACATGCTAATTTTTTTTATTGTTATTATAAAACAATTGATTTCTAAAGATGGTTTGCGTTGTAGAAGCGTTTTAGTCTTAATGGTTGATATGAGTTATATTCTAAAGAAAATGAATTATTGTAAGTTAACAACAACAAATTTATTAGAAATTTCAATTGTGAGGTCTATAGAGTTACTCTTCGTAATTTTGTGTGTTATGGTAAAATTGTGATTTGTAAACATGTCAAAAACAAAACTATTTATCTTAAATATGTCATATGTGTAGCGTGGATAGAACTATCCGTTTTACAATTGGTTAAAAACATTTTTCCATATTGTTTGTACCTTTTCAAAATAATGTAACACATAACAAACAACTCTAGAGACTGTGAATTATGTAGTTTGTGGATACAAGTTTTTTTCAACAAGTGAAAGTAACAAATCTATCGTTGTTTCATATTTTATGAATTAAATGATCAATTATCCATGTATAGATCAGAAAATATGCTTGTTACAAGTTTTGATTTTTGAACGAACTTTGTTTATTTATTTTTTTGGGGTACAAATGAATGAACATTCTTCAATACTATATGACAACAGATTATTTTGGTATCATTTTTTAAAAATTGTTTGGTTATCATTTGAGGAATATGCGATGAATAATCATTAAGGTGAGCAACTAACGTCGCTATTTTATTATTCTGCTTGCTTCTGAAGGTACTCTTTCTTTTATCATTTGACTCCAAATTTTCTTCCCTTTTTAATTTTTTCATGTTGTAATCTCAAAATGTTCTCAAATCATTGATGATTTTATATGAATTTCATATGTAGGTAAGATAAAAATCAACGTTAAGAAAATATATAGTGACTAGTTGTAAGAATTTTTTTTTTTTAATAGCAACTGGCACATCAACAATTAAATTACAAAAATCATTTTAATTATTTTCCAATACCATATTAAATTTTTTTTGCAGCCTAATAAGTTCGTTTTTCCCCAAAATGGGAAAATTCCAAAAACGGTTTCTCTTAGTTAACCAATTCCAAAAACAATTAACCCTGTAAAATACACA